CTTGTTAAATGAATATTTCTTAACAGGACATATGAAGCAAGAGAGAGGTAGAAAATTTTCATTGTGTACAAACAACACTCGCTTCCCTCTAATTGCTTTTAAAGTGAAATAAGTTCCTAAAATATGATAGTTATTAGTGGTTATCAGTCCCATATAATGGCTTCAGATTGTGCAAGTAGGCTCAGTAGGTTATCACCGAGTGAATCCTTATCCTAACCCTAAAGTAATTCCTTTAAATCCTTTTGCAGAATTTATTTATCTTTTTATGTGTAATCTAAAATTAATTTCAATGGTTCTTCATGTACTGTAAATATAATGATCGACATCTTGCTCATATTAGACAAACCTAAAACAAGTAATCTCATGCCCTGTCAACAGAATTGTAGAATCCTCTCTCCCTATAAATATTGAATTGTCTGTGAAAAATGCGGATAATTCTTTAATAAGATCCTCGTCAAACAGACATTCAATATTTGTTTTTAAAACCTAATATGTATAACGGACCTACTGAATATATATATATATATATATATATATATATATATATATATAATTATTTTCAATGCAAAAAAGTTCAACAAAAATCTGACAAAATCAGGAAATAAAATTAAAGGACTAGGAGAGCGGAGTCATCAGGACACTCCAAGTTTACTGAAGAAAAACTGCTACCGACCAGGTGAGCTCTGGGGAGAGCGTTAATACGGTGACTGAAACAGAGGTTTAGGACACTCTCTTTGTGAACTGGAAATGTCAGAGTTACCCTTTAGACAATGTAGAGTTTTCAGCAAACCTGCTTCGTGAAACTGACCCCCTGGTAGTCTACACAGGTGGAGCTCATCAGTGTCATCAGAGTGCTGGGCTTTAAAGAACAGCAGAGTCTTCACTCAGTGCTTGTTTCTTTTTGTTTTGTTGCTCCGTTGTCTCCTTGCTCCCCATGTGTGTATTTCTTATATATATACATATATATATATACATATATATATATATACATATATATATATATATAGTGTTAACAAAAATAGATATCTTAACCTTCTTTCCTTCGTGCAATGTTGTACCCAACATTTGTTTCATTCCATTCTGTCTGTCAAACTTTGCTTAAACTAACAATACATTAATTCTGCTCAGTTGGGCAGAGAAAGTCTGTCCGGACAAGAGAAAGAACCTCTGGCAGCCATAAATTCTCCACATTGCATAGAAAGCCAATAAATAGAAAATAGTTTGCAATAAAATAAAGCTGAAACCTACAATACCTAATAAACAGAACAACAACAAAAAAAAACAAAAAAACATATGGTCTATGATGCAGTAATTGTTGAAAAAAATGGTTCCTTACTGTAGAGATAAGATATATAAATTTCTGTTATTTAGAAATCATCAGCTGGTGATATATTGGCTGGCGGGCTCCTACTTTTAATGTTAGGTATAAAATGGTGTAATAACTATGTGGGGAAAATGTTTTTCCTTTGTAGTTATTTTATATTTTTGTAGTTTTTCCTTTTCAGTTGACATTTGTTGGGATCCAAATCTGATTAATATTTTGGTTTTCACCTCTGACGAAATCAAGAAAAAAAAGTTGACTTTTTTGTTTTAAAATAGAATGAAATTGTTGACTTTAATTGTAAGCTCAATGAAAACAAAAACTCTGTAATATTTATCTCTTTACTAATGTGATTATTTGTTACCATGTTATTGTTTAATCTTGAGTTTAAGAGTGCTGTTTAGTCATTTTTTTCCTGCACATAAATGCCTCGCTTAAATATAGTACTTAGATATGCATTCAAAAAATTGTATGTTATCCACATTTATGTTTGATTCTACTAGTGAGCTACAAATACATTATCCTCTTATCCATTGTCTTTCAAAAGTAATCTCAAGATTGTTGCAGTGTAAGAAACTGTTTCAAGACCAGTATTATAAACAGCAGATTTGATAGCATACTCCGATATTTTCAGGTTTTGGTCTGTTAGGTCCTAATCAATTCTAATCATTGGGAGCAACTATCTTTGCATGCATGGCTTTGCTGTGAGTTTAAGTCCATTTGCAAAAATAAAATTTGAATACCCAAAATTAAAAAGAACAAGTCAGCCTTATGCAAGATGTTGGTGACCTGGTATCAGGTTACTTGTTGTCTTCATTATTATATGGAGTCCCTATTTTTCTTTGTTTGCCAGAGTTTCACTCTGTTTGTCAAACTTTGCTTTAACTGGCATCCCTCAATTGACACAATGAGGCCTAAAAAAGAAAAGTCTAATGGACAGAGGGTATTTATTTTGACAAGGGATGGGACTTTGGGTAGCCATAAATTCTGCAAATTGCATAGAGAGCGATACTATAGAAAACATACAATATACACTGCTCAGATAAATAAATGGAACACAATATAACTTCAATCAAATCAAACTTATGTGAAATCAAACTGTCCACTTAGGAAGCATCGCTGATTGGCAATCAATTTCACATGCTTGGGAACTTATTGGCTATTAGTGTTATGTTTGGAAGCTATGAGGAGGTAGAAGCTCAAGTAGACAATAAACTCAACACCGTTTATTCATAACATGTTCAGCAGTACTGTAACATCAGGTATTCCTTCCCTCCATCTTACTTTTCTCCAACCAACTTTTCCTATACTAGTACACCATCTAGTGGTAGACACAACATTCACCTCTTACTTGAAGAGATTGGATGTACAGTACCCAGTTAGGAAAAGACTGAACATCAGAATGCAGATGCTGACTGGGGGCTTTTAGATCAAATTAGAAAGAATGTAATGTCTGCCATTTGTGCTGGGTCCACCAGCTGAATGGTTGAGATGTAAAAAGGGCCTGAGACAGAAGATGAGATCTTAATCTACAACTTGTACTTATATCAATGATTTTGTTAACCATGATAGGATAAATTCTGTTGAGGATTAAATATGTTTCCTCCTTTGTGTACACTATCTGAGAAACAATACCTCATCTGAGTCGGACCGGGTTTTCAATTGATGGTCCAATAATATTCCAGCAAAGACTGTCCAGGAGTTGGCGACGCTTGGGGAGGAGATCCCTCAGGAGACTATCCGCCACCTCATCAAGAGCCTGTCCAGGTATTGTAGGGAGGTCATACAGGCACGGGAAGGCCACACACAATACTAAGCCTCATTTCGTCATGTTTTAAGGACATTACATCAAAGTTGGTTCAGCCTGTGGTGTTTTTCCACCTTCATTTTCTGTGTGACTCCAAATCCAGGCCTACACTCGTTAATTAATTTGATTTCCATTCATTATTTTAGGTGTGATTTTGTTGTCAGCTCATTCATCTTTATACAAAGATGTAGACATCTGTTATTTTAGGAAAATCTTTAGCCTGTGTTATGTTGGCTTGTTAGCTCCTTGTTTTTTGCCTGTAAAAGCACAGAAAGGCAATGGTCAGTCAGCCTGGCTCTGAAGCAGCTAACAGGGTCAGACAGGGAATCGCCCCTTTTATTCCACATAAGTCAAGCTGCATGAGTATAGATTTCACTGATTTCACCTGAGATGACAAAGCGGGATATAAATTTAATTAAAACATAATATCTAATGTAATTTCTTTTTCTCTGACACTGTCACAATTTGATCTTCCCTGTAATTGATTCACAAACAGCCTCTCACCTCATTCACTGTGGTTTACTCTGCTATCCTTTGGTTAAATTAGATACATAATGCCAAGGAGAAATCCATGGAGAGCTGATGGATGAAAGAACTTCTGTTCTCCAGGTGGATGAGGGCTGTTTGGAACACGGATGAATTTGCGTCAGCAGTGGCTCGAGGTACTGATGACTTTCCTTTTTTGTAATGACTGATATGAAGGCCTGCAATGGACTGGCGACCTGTCCAGGGTGTATCCCGCCTCTCGCCCATTGAAAGTTGGAGATAGGCACCAGCACCCCTCGCGACCCCACTTGGGTTAAGCGTGTTCGAAAATGAATGGGTGGATGGATGATATGAAGGCTATAGGTCAGTAGTCATTCTATTCTGTCAATGTAGAGCAATTAGAGACATGAACAATAGTGGCAAGTTGGGACAGATGTCAGTAACAATAAGGTGTTAAAGTAGTCTGCCACTACCCCAGAGCGCTGGTGTAGACATTCCCCAAGTAACCACCCTGGGTTGTTGTTGGAATTCTATATAATTATTCTATATTATTTTCATGCTAAATTAAGAAATAAACTTCAAGAGTGTCAAATTTGTTGAGGTCATCTCTTTATGCTGATTAAAGACATAATAAATGTCAACACACTTTGATCACACGAAAGTTAAGCTAGACTAATCAAAATAAATGGCAACAGTGAGTAACTGAGCAGGTTTATTACCAGACAAAATTAAATATAGGATGCCAAAAGGTTCCTAACAAAGCTTTTCATGTCCAGTCTTTTGTCTTAATAATTGATTAAAAACTTGTTTTCCGCTAATTACTTTTCCAAGAGGAATACTTTTTTGTTTTTACATTTGTGCCCAACTGGTACGTAAATCTCAAATCATAAAATTAATGAATCTAAATCCTTGCAAGCCTGATCAGAAGGACCACAGCATAGAAAACTGAAATTAAAATTGTCATCTGTCATCTGTGAGTCCAAAGTAGTCTTCTTTTTTTGTTCATCTCCGTGCTTGCTTTTAGTTAATCAGCATTTTGGTTCTTGAACTGGCTCTTTGCATAGAATGCACACTCTGTTGTTGTATAGTCATTTGTGGTTCTGCAGGTCTAACCTACTCTGGAAATGTTCTACATGGGCCTTTTGAAAGGGGGGAAGTGGTTTGTTCACTAAAAGAAGCATGACACTTGCTGCTCTGTATATCTCAGTTGAAAAATCTAAAAATATAATGTAGACTCTCTTAATATTGGTAAAGAATTCTATTCAAACTAAATACATGATTTTGAAGATAATCAAGCATCATATGTTTACAATCAGACAACATAAAAACATTGTTTTGTTTGGTGTTGAGGGTATTGGATGTGTTAGTGCTAAACCCCTCCCTCTTTTACTTTTTCAAAATAATCTAATTAGTTGAGGCGAGATAGGTTTGTCTGGGGTTTGGCTCATTTATCGTTAGGACACATTTCAATTTGACATACATTTTTGGGCTAGTCAACAGTACTTTTTTGGCTATGTTATGTATTTGATCTAAAGAAAGAAGATATAGCCTTTCCTATCTTCATCATCTGGAGAGAAGCTCTTCCTGAAACTCGGGTAAAGACCTATTTTTTTCTATTAGTTACATAATAAGCAAGTTTCATATGCCTCTGATATACAGCAGTTCCATGCAGATAAGATATTTATTGTCATTATTCAAGTATTTCTTTTCAGTTTTATTAGTGGGATTGCATTTCTGTTAAAAAATGATTACATATGTATATGTCCAAATTTTAGTCTCTATCTTAAGTTAATAACCATATGATTTAGCTCTTAAACTGATTTTCCAAACTTTTTATTTAAACATTATAAAATTATGCATGAAAGATCCAAAATTGTACAGTAAGAAGTTGGTAAGGCGTGATTAGGAAGTGAAATTATTCTAAAGAACTTCATCTATTAAGTTTGAGAAAGCAGAAATGTGATTTCACTCTGTCTTTGCAGAATGAAACATTAAAGTTAGCAACAATGTCAATGTGGACCTGCCTTCTTCTATTTGGAGTTTCTATTTCGATGGCAAAGGTAATGTAAGCTGTGTGGAAACACAAGATTTGTACCTTTATGTCTTTAATTAGACATTCATAAATGTGTAAAGAAAATATGGATTGAAATGACTTATTTCTATCTTTTCCATTTTCTGCTAGGTTAACAGATCCAAGGTTGATCCTCTCATTCAACTGGACATGGCTCCTAACTCTGTTGATGATATGTATGAACGCTGTGAAGACAAGATGGTGAATAAAGTAAAGAATGAGTGTCTGGTAAAAGAGAAAAAAATTAACAGAAATTTTTCACTAGCTTGGTCTGAAGCAGAGAAACAGTACAACAAGAAGTGGAAGCCTAAACCTGGAAAGAATCCTCGCAGAACCTTGGAGAAAGAACAGAACATGGCCATCTATGCTTATACTCTGGAAACACCGAGACTATATGCTGAATTCAATGATGCTGTTCGAGCTCAAAGAGATCAGTATCAAAACAAATTTCAATATCACTCACTGCACTTTTTCCTCACAGACGCTCTGAAACGTCTTAACTCTCGCAAACCTAAGAAAGAAAGATGCCTTATTGGTTACCGGAGAGTCAACAGAAAATTCAACCTTAACATTCTCAGCAAGGAAATTCGTTTTGGGGCTTTCACCTCCAGCTCAATGGGGAAGTATCCAATGAATGAAAAATTTGGCTATGAAACATGCTTTGTGATTCGCACCTGTTTAGGAGCGGACATCTCAATATATTCCAAGTTTGGAGAATCAGAAGGAGAAGTCTTGATTCCTCCTTATGAAATATTTACAGTTACAAGGATAAAGCAGAGATCTGAGGATAAGAACCTTCCATGTGAGGTTGTTTTGGAGCTAAAGAGTACAGAACAATCTTTGTCAAATTTGAACTGTGCATTTTTTCCAGAAAAGTAGCCTGAACAAATAAAAATGCAATTTCGCTGAAACGTAAAACTACAAAAAAAACCAGGGGCGGAGCTAGATGGGGGGCCAGGGGTGGCCATGGCTACCCTTACCCAATCATTGGCCACCCCTACTATTTTTTTCCCTCTAATGCAGACGGTGGCAGCAGTAATACTCTGAAGGGCAACTACTTAACAGATACGCTGTGGTTAATTAGCACATCAATATACTAACATTAAAGATGATAAATACAGAATTTGTGCTCTTTTCAGAACTAAATTTTGAATTATTTGGGGTAAAGATAAAATTCTCTGCCTCTGCAAGTCATCTAGGAGTCTTCAGTGAAATCATAGATAAAAAACTACTTTAATAATTACTTAGAAGTTATTTTAATGTGGATATTAGTAGATTTAAATATATTTTATTTTTTTGCAGAATGCTTATTAATAAATGTAGGTAATGAAAATGTAAAATATATCTCAAACCTGAAAGAATTTTGCCCAATATATTATATTATTTACACAGCATAGATGTTTGAATATATGAACTTTTTTGTTAGCAAAGGCTGAAGGAAAGGATAGTTTGTCTTTATTTAGAACATATCTAAGTTGTGCTCATTCCAGTTGAAACGTGTAGATTGACCCTGAGGTCCTGGTGCCTTTCGGGCACCCCTCAATGTACATTGGTTATTGCCTTGCCACCCCTATTAGGATTTTCTGGCTACGCCTCTGCAAAAAACCCATAGCAATAGTGACAAAAAATATTTAGAGAGATTTGATTGTGCACTCCATAAAAAGCCAACAGATTTATAGTTTTAACATATTTATTAAGACTTTTAGTAAGATCAGGCCAAGCGTGATTTTAAATGTATACTTGCTTTAAACTACTGTGTAAATGTAAAAGAATGAAAAAGAAGCTTCAAATGATTAAAACACTGGATTTTAAATTTAACAAATGCTTAATATGCTTCATAATTGCTGTGCTTCAAATGCATCTGTAAAACAACTTGTTGTATTTGGTCCAAATAAATGCTTTTCAGACATCAAAATTGTCTGCTTGAATAAAAGTTATTTTAATGGTTGGTTGATAGACTGCAGAACTAGTAAACCTAAATGGTTTCAAATTCTTTAAGTTGCTCTGTAAAGTGAATGCACATGGAGTTTGAAATGATTGTTTACTTGTGGTTGTGCATGTCTCACCCTCACAGGATGTGGTCGGTACAGGCTTTAAGGGGAGGAATTGTTTTGACAATAAGTTTAAAGAAGAATTTTGGTCATGTTGGTCATTGTTTTGTTAAGTTATTTTTGAGAAGCACTTTACTTCATTAAACACACTATACAATATATTTTTTAATAATTATCATCAAATAATTCATAAATAATTCACTTTCCATCTTACCCTGGTGGGGTTGTGTACAGTCACAGTGCTTTTTTTCCAACAGTGATCGATGAAGGTGAATGTATAAATGTTGTTTTTATATCTTCAGTTTCTCATAAAATAAGTTTTTACATTTTTTTCAAGTGAGAAAGTGCAACTTAACACTTTGTCGGTAGCTAATTGTGTGTGGCCATAATGTGGAACAGTCAGTCTAGCATTACCCTTTGATTATTTTAACCAAATCATTTTAAGATGTTTTTAAGCAATAAAGTACACCTCAAACTTAATGCTTTGCATGAAAGCTTTGAAAATGTAAGTTACTGTAGGTATTAATTATTATTAATAATATAGTCTACTCTAAATTATTAATTAAATATTGTTTTGGCAGTTTAAAGAAAATAATGGAGTAATGATCTGACAGAGACCTTTTCATTCAGTTTCCAATTCAGTTTATTTATGTATTACCAATTGGCAAAACAGGTCAAGCCAAAGTACTTTACAGAGACAATACAGTCAGATTGGCTTAAAGATCTGTCAAGGAAAAACCAGTTAATTGCATCAAGTCATTGACTTGCAAGACATGTGCCTAATGAATTTGCTTGTGGCAAGTATGGTCGGTTGCATTTTGCAAACCCTCACACTAGCATGCATGCAGCGCAGGGGAGAGGAAATCTCCATAGTGTGAGCGGCCTTTTACAGAGGCCGACTGGGAGACAGAGACAGATATAAAAAGAGCAAATATACAAAATGTAACTGTTAACTAGCTCCACAGATGGCAACATCCAGGAAAGACAAAGCCAGGCCGACGAGTTCCAAGCCAGCTCCTATGTCAGAGGATGAAAGAGAGAACATACAATTAGTCACACTAAGATTAATAGAACTACACTGGAAATAGGGCCAAGCTCCAACATCTATAAACAAAGATGTTGATGGCAGCAGCGCGGATTATATTTCTTTCCAGGATGGCGTTACAGCCAAAAAGATACACACTGGATGAAGCTATTATGACAAGAAAAGGTAAAAAAGAAAAACTTTACCTATGATAGGAGTTCCGGAGGAAAGAAAACGGAAAAAGTAGTGATCATCTTTGAGCCTTGCAAACAAACAATGAGGGACAGAAAGCGCAGTTTATCAATCTCCCCAGAAAAAAATAACATCAGGAGGAAGTTGGGGCTTTGCTTCTTAGAATGAGCCTGTGTTTTTAAAAAATTTTTTTTATTTTATTTTCTTTATAACTTCTCATAATCTGTCCAAGTCAAATGTGGGAAATTGTTTTAATTTGTGTATAGCACAGAGACAGAGGTGAAAAGAATCTGTTCAGATCTACCCACCCTGCCTAGTCGGAGCCTCTCTATACCCAGTCAGTAACACATGGAAAAAACAATTGGATCGGAGATTAAAAAGTCGTAAACCTGTGTGTTCAGGCATTAACAACTGATCATTAATGGCATGATGTTGCTCTTCTGAACTGTGCCAGGGTTTTGGCCAGTGGTTGTTTCGTTGGCCAAATGCAAAACTGGTCAAAGTCCTCCTGGCACTGTTACCCTGTTTCTACTGGGACAGGGCTGTCAAACTGGTTCCAGAAAGGGCCGTGTGGCTGCAGGTTTTCTTGTCAACCAAGCAATAGCACACCAGACTCCAGTCATCCCATCAAGGGAGTCCAATCTGAACATGATGACTTGATGATATGAATGGAGTCTGGTGTGCTATTGGTTGGTTGGAAAGAAAACCTGCAGCCACACGGCCCTTTCTGGAACCGGTTTGACACCTGTGTTCTGGGAGATCGGATCTTTGGGGTGAACCAGACTCTGCCTTAACATGTTTTGCGGTTTAAAAGAAACTAGGAATTGCGATACATCCCATTTATGTTAATGTAAGCAACTCTAGGAAAACAGCAAGAAAAGTGTAATTTAAAAAAGATTAAAATGTAACCTACAAACAAACTTTTTAATCGTCTGTATGAAGAAAATGCTTTGGATTTTTTTTTTTAATTCTGAATTTGTTTAAACTGTAATTTTTTAAAGAAACATTCACCAAAACATATCGCAGAAAAAAGTTTCTAAATATGTTGTACTGATATTTAACAATGCCACACATTGTGTAGTTTAGATTACGTTGATCTTTGCAAAGGTTTTATAGCTGTTTTGATGATTTATCTAATCTATCCTCTTATCGCTTTAGTCTATGGTAACAAAAAACATTTTTTAAATCTTTTACATTAGATACATAATTGAGCTGTCATCTATTATATTGGAACTTTCCCAGCTCTATTAGGAGACAATATATTCTTAAGAATTTCAGTATAGAAGAAAAAAGACTTGAACTAAATTCGATTCATACCTGATCCCACCTAAAGTGAAATAAATGTAATTTAAAATTGTCAATAGAATTTATTCTACTAACGAATTTCCAAAAAACAAAACAATTAAATTGGACAATGGAAAATGTGGTTTCTGTGACATGGAAAGTATGAGTTTGGAACATCTTTCTTTGCTTGCTTTTCAGTAAAATGTTTTGGGTGAAATTCCAGATGTGGATCCAGTTTACAGGGTTTAATTTACCAGATCTTAGCTTAAGAGAAGTCTTATTTGCTATAGATGTACCGGTAGTTTGATTTACATAAATACATTTTGTAAGTGTAAACCAATCATATCCCAATGGAGTTACAATCATCAGCAATCATACAAGAAAAAAGTGCTTGTAAATATCTTCTTTTTTTAGATAAACTTAATCTCCTGTTTAAAGCCCTATCCTTTAATTATGCCTCATATAATGATGCCTTTTTCTGTCTTTATTTATTTTAGGTTATTCTGCTATATGCTAAGTTACACTGTCTGTATTGTTTGTATTGGTACCCTTTGTAATATATAAATGCTAAATAAAGTTAAACAAGTAAAAAAAAAAAAAAACACCCACCACGTAATTAAGATGATTTCCAGCTGGTACCAAACAGGTTGATAAGATCATCTCTACCAACAGTAAGTCTAAATGTGGAAAGTTCTTCTTTTTTGGGGGGAGGGGGCAAAAACGAGTAATGAATTTAATGCTGTAAAGTAAAACAGTCTATGTTTTAAAACTTGAATTGGTAAAAAAAGGATTAAGATATTTGTTTGCAAGATGGTTAAACCTTGTAAGTGAAATTTTCACATTTTAAGATACCTGGAAATTAGACTGTTTTTAACTGTTTTTAATGGATTTGCAGACTCTTCAAACATGGCAAAGATGGTAGGTTGGTCAGCAGTGGTGTTTTTGCTGGGAGTGTTCTTTGAAACTACAATGGTAAGCACAAGAGCTTTTATAATGTTTGCACAAATATAGATCTTAATGGATTATGAAAATATTTTGATAAAATACTTCCATTTTCCTGAATTTTAAAATAACTTTTGGCAGGGCTTGATTACACTGGACATGGCTCTGAACTCAGTAGATGACATGTACGCTGGCTGTGAAGACAAGATGGGGCATAAAGTGAAGACTGAGTTTCTGCTGAATGAGAAAAATCAGAACAAAAATTTCTCCCTAGCCTGGAATGAAGCAGTAAAATACTACAATAAGAAATGGAGACCCAAACATGGAAAGGCCCCCACAAGAACCCTGACGAAAGAGGAAATCATGGCCATTTATGTGTACACTATGGATAAACCCAAAGTCTACGCTGAATTCAATGATGCAGTTAGAACACAGAAAATGAAGTACAAAACAACTTTCAAATACCACACTCTGCACTTCTTCCTCACAAGTGCCCTGAAAAAGCTCAGCACTCACAGAGGTACCCTAAAAAGATGCCTGACTGGCTATAGAAGGGTCAACAGTTACTTCAGCCAAGATGTCCTTAACAAGCAGATTCGCTTTGGCTCTTTTACCTCCAGTTCAATGCTTGGTTATCAGCATCCTAACAGATTTGGTGATGAGACATGCTTTGAGCTCTCCACCTGTTTTGGAGCTGACATATCCCTGTACTCTAAGTTTGGAGAAGCGGAAGCAGAAGTTTTAATTCCCCCATATGAGGCATTTAAAGTGACCCAGATCAACAGGAGATCAGAGCAAAAAAAACTTCCATGTGATGTTGTGTTTAAACTGAAAAGCACACAGAAAGCAATTTCTAACCTTAACTGTGCTTTCTTCTGAATAGCAGCAGTCTGCCTGTTTGTCGCCCTAAATCGTTTAGATTGTTTAGAGCACTACATTTGTATTTGGATCACATTTTGAGAAGTACTAAACGTGCTAAAATTAATTTGATTGATCATTGATATGCAAAACCTTGTTTTGTGAAAATAAGACATATTAGTCCCTGGACAATTATGTCCCTTTACAAAATATTGAGGAAATCAGCCAGATGATTGTGCGATAAGGAAAATGTGTATGTCTATATGCTCTATGTAATTGAAACCTTGTTCAAATTCTGCATACAAAACTACTTTTTGTTTATTAGAATGGCATGCATTTCAGCTTACATTTTTATATGAATAGGGGGGAAAGGATAATAGATAAAAGGCAAAGAAAGATTTGAAACTTTTAGAAGCAAACTTATTTGTTCAAATTTCTTTTCAATTGCTATAGTTGTTGGGTTTTGTTTTGGTAATGAGCTCTGTCAAATGCCTTTGAATCAAGTAAAAACTTAACTTAGAAGGATATTATGTTTTTATATGGAGTTTCCCATGGTGTTGCAGTTCAAGTCTGCAAGTGCCATGGATGGGAACTGGAAATTGAATCCTTGTTTTTGCAGGAAAGGAAATCTGAGGCCTGTACCACCAAGCAAACTAAACCTTCAATTGACAGGTCCTCATCAAAAATAATATCAAGATTTGGGTCCTACGTTCCGAGCCTTCTGACAAATACTTCCTTAAATAACCTGGTTGGAACAGCATCTAACATACAAGTTGAAGGTTTAGATGAAGACAATGGTTTACAAACTCTGAACATTTAACTGTATCAAAGCAGTCTAAACCCGGTTCAGATACTATGGCTACCTCATATGCTGCCTCACCAGAGAAAAACCAGTCATAGTTACAGCCATATCATAATCAGTGCCATATGTCAGCACAAAGTGAAAAGTATGAAGATGAGAATGTATCGGACTATTCACATTTTGAAGAAAGCCACTAGCATCTAAGATAGCATTAAAGGCTGCTCTTAAGCTATAACCTTCATTGTCAGCCTGGATGCTGAAATCTCAGAGTAAGGACCTGGTGGACAATACAAAGTTACAAAAAGAAGAGGTTTTTTTGCTTTGCAATTTGGTTGAGGGAAATTAAGGGTTACATTTTCAAAAGAGTTTTAATTATTAGCTGCCTTTGGAGTAACCAATAAGTCAGACAGATCAATTGTTTCTACTCCTCCTCCTTGCCCAGAAATTCTGGGTATGTGTAGATTTAAATGACTAGGAGGAGCTGCCTCATTAATGCTCACATAATCTTTTTGCTTCAGCCAAGTTTCTGTAAGGCAATATAAATCTGTGATTATCATGAATCAAGTCATTAACTAACAAACTTTTTGAAGAAAGAGATCTTATGTTAAATAATATATATATATATATATATATTTTTTTACTTTTTCTCCAATTGGAGTTGTCTTTTTAAAAAATCACATTATAATGATTAAGTCCCTTGGGATTCTTTTATTTATGTGATTTTGGTCATGGTCAAGACACTGTCTGGATGGAGTAATGAGTGGGTAACAGTAGAGAAGCCGCAGAGAGGTTAGTTAAATTACGACTCTTCTTCTGGGTCTGCACCCTGTGTTTTCAGGGTTTTAAAGGGACTAATGAATTCAGCCAGACTCTAAACCAGATTTAAATGCTGCTGGTTTTAATATGAGAGAATGTGTAAAACCTCAAAATGTCATAAACACTTTTTTTATGCATTTTAGTATAATGCTTTTTGGAAAATTTGATTTGTAAGTATTGCTGTACATTGAATTCTGTGTCAAAACAAACTTCTTTCTCCTCATTCAGTCTCTAAGGCAAGTTTCTATTAATGTTTCTATTTCTGTTTGAGGAAACATCATACTTTTTTGTGGAAATGTTTTCTAGAAAAGGAAAATATAGCTGATGCAAAAATGAAAAGTGTTGTCACTGAGTGGTAGGTATTAATTCTTTCTAAAATAGTTTAATATTTAAAATGTATTTCCATGCACATTTAAGATGCTTTTAATTCAGTTTGGTGAATGGGTTTAATTCCGCTGCACCTGAGAATTTTTTTTTCCTTAAATGTGTGTCGTGTAAGTATAAAGTTGATTTTTTTCGGCTTCCCCAAAAACCTGAAAACACACAACTACCACCGTTTTGTTTAGCCTTTTTCTCTGTATAAATGTTTCGTCTTTGAATGGGTGGGAGATTATCTGGGCTGATTTTAACTATTTTGAGACGTATTTATTTCCTATTTATTTATTTCGTATTTGTACATTTTATAGCTATTTTTATGAAAATGCCTATGTTTAGCGAGGGCTATGTTTACCTGGGTTACACATGCATTATAAATGGACGTGTGAGGCAAAAAAAGTTAAAAGCAGACCAGTATTATTTTGTGCAGGGTTTTTTTCTTTACAAAGCAAAAACATGGGTAAATTAAATATGTAATACTTGTGTGGATGGCAGCAGTAAAAAAAATGGGGATAATAAATAGAAACAGCTCCATAGAAATATTACATAATTCAAGACTAAATAAACAGGTTAATTTAGTCACTTTAAAGTTAATCAAAACAAAAAGCAATGAGTCAGACTAAAAATATAATTAAAATAAACACTAATTTACAATGACTAATATGACTGATTCACTGACAGTTGCTGTATTAATTTGAGACATATGGATATTGTGGTGTTGTAAGATGCATGACTATCCAAAGATCTTATAATTTAGTGTTCATTTATACCTGAATATTAAAGTTAGATTTGAAATTTGAATATAATTGTTAGTTTTGTTGAGAAAAGAAGAGTTTGATAAACAACTGAACTGATCTGTTTGTCACAGTTTAATTAATCAGTGGCAATAACTTGGGATGAATGAAGTTTGATGTTTGAAAAAAAAAGTTTGATGTAGTTAAGCTACTTTTGTAATTTTATTGAAGCTTAGTTTGCTACATTTATCTGGTGTGGGGTTTCAGTGTAGTGAAGCTTAATTTGATAGAATAATAACTTTTAGTTTAACTCACTAAATTTAGAAAATTGGCTAAATTAAAATTAGCTTGCCCAACACTGGTTGTGGTTGTGATGAAGGTTCAAGAAGTGAGTGTAAAATGATATAGGAAAAGGATAAAATAAGGAATGCTCTTGTTTTAGGTGGCTTGTAAAAATGCTTATTTAATTAAGGCCTAGAAGGACTGTTTGTTGTCTTCCCTTACCTCCAGGACAGACCACTATAACTGCCACTCGCCAGAGTTGGTACTATCTGAGTGGTTAGATCTACAAGGAAGTACTGCTGAATCTGACATCATCCAGAGGCAGCTCTGGATGAACCAAGTGATCCAATGAAAAGCTTCTGGGACTTTTCCAAAAATGTATGGTCTTCCCAAGCCAATTCTAAAGTTGTTTATGCAGCAGTCTGTGATGTTACATTCAATTTGGAGCTTAAGAGGGAGATGGCTGATCCCTTGATATCCTAAAACTGTGTTTTTCAACCTTGGTCACACTGGCACACTGCCCTGCATGTTCCCAGCTTTCACACACCTGTTATCAGTTGATAGATTATGAGGCTTTGCTGAACTGCAATCATCTGAATCAGGTGTGCTGAAGCTCAGAAACATCCAAAACATGCAGAGCAGTGTGCCTTGAGGACCAGAGTTGAAAAACACTGACCTAAAAGATAATTGTTGGAACAAATGTATATAAAGTTATCTCATATTTACTCATTTCTAATACATTCTCTACTTTTATACTGAAAAATCTATTTGTTAGATGACGCTAGAGTGGCTTTTTTACTTATTTCTGTGCTGAGTGTCTTTCCAGAAGTGGGGTAGTGGAACAGCACCTGTTAACTCACCCCAGACAAATGGGCTGTGTTTTGATGAATATAGAGAAGTGTGAACCAAAACCACAATTCTGCTTTTTAAACAAAATGAGCTGTTCCTGGAACTAGAAGATAGTGAAATGTTTTTGACCACAAAGTGAACCTTTTTTTTTTTTTGAGTTTTTACGAAACTAGTGGCTCGTTTTTTTTTTTCAACAGTAGGCTGACGGGTGTGAGAGAGGGGAAGAGACATGCAGCAAAGGACCGAAGGCTGGATTCGAACCTGTGTTGGCTGCGTCAAGGACTAAGGCCTCCGTACATGGGTTGTGCACGCAATCTACTGCGCCACCTGCACACCCATGAACCTTTTGAAACTGCTTATGCTTGATTTAAGTAGATAATCTTGGAAACGGTTCGGCTGAATGTGCCTCAGAGCGGGTCGAAGATTGCAAATGGGCACATCTTGATCCATTCTGCTTGCTAGTAAAAGGAATCTAATGCTCTTGTTATTTTTTACCAGGTTATTTGATAAGTGTTTAAAGTGTGTGTTTTTTAAACCTAACATTTAATCTTTAATATCTCTGAAACAAAATTATCAAACATTATCTTTTTTTTAATGTATTTTATTATTATTTTTTTAAATAAACGTTTTAACTGCACAAACCTGCATGAATGAAGTGCTAACCATTCAGTCTATCTATTTTTCATCTGGGTAAGGGTGTCAGCTTCATTAGCAGAAGCTCTTCTAATTTGATCACACAATCTAGGGTGTAAACACTGTGCATCTGAAATACAGTGGTTAACTTCCCGCAGGGCTCATAGAAATGCCCGTGGACTCTGCTTTCAGTATGAGCGCACCAGTTTTTGTTGACAAATAACATCAGAACGCAACACAGGGCTGCACCATGAATGAGAGAGTGACAAGCATATTATAACAGAATGATTAGACAAACTTCTGCCAAATTGTTAAAGGTTTTTCCAAAGAAACTTGCTTTTAGCACTGGCTATCAATCATGCTAGTTATTAGTAGATTAGCTTGATTAATATAATAACTTATGAACATAGATATTTACGCATAGGTCGGTTTATGCACTTAGTTTGGATCTGTGGCGCAAATTCAATCAAGAAGACTCTTGCCTACAACCAATCTCCTCATGAGTCTCTTTACTAGCCCACAAGAACATTTATATAAGTGAAAAAGTATCCGGGAAGTCCTTCCTGTTGATTGGCATCCCTCCTCCTCCCTTTCTCCACCTTGAACTCACTAGACTCTTTACAACCCCCTTCATTCTCCAGCCTCTATTTCAACATCGGGGCTCAGTCTGATAAATGTGTCCAACATAGACCTACCTTGTCACACAGAACTGCATTATTAAAATGGTTTCTTAGGTAGAGGTTTCATTACAGCAACCTGAGTTACATATCCCTGTAACAGGAAGAGAATAGTCATATCAAAATGAAGGTGGAAATCAGAGGGAATGGTTTCTTTATTAACTTGGTCGGAGCTAGATCTAACATACAAGTTGAAGGCTTTGATGAAGGCAATGACTCTTAAAGCTCAGCTGGCTCTAAACAGTCCAAACCCCAGAGGCGGCCTCACCTTTCAAAGATGAACCAATTAGGGTGTTTATGATCTTATTTTCTCCTCATGCTTTCTGAAGGGTCATTTTATACTATAGTAAATAATTGTTCCAGACTAGGTTGGATTCTGTGAGGCATGTACAGTATAGCACCATTTTTCCTCAAGTTTCATTTTGCTTTAAAATGCACAGCTCTGTATTAAATGAAGGAGTCAGCTTTCTATTTTTAAAGATTTTCCTTTTCAAAGGTGCTATGTTGTCTAAGGCAGTAGGGAAGTAACTAGTAACCCCATCAATTAAATCATCAATTTGAGATAAAAGTGTAACAGATTCTTTAAATTTCTAGCTACATTATCTGATAATGATCTGCTAAAGTAAAACCTTTTGGGGGTGGAGAACTCTGTAAATGTAATTTTGTAGGTTACTAAAAAGGGGTCAGAGGGGACAGGGTTGTAAGGAAATGTTTTTTTTTTCTTCACATTTAATGTCATATGTCAGCACAAGGTGCAAAGTATGAAGATGAACATGTGTGGGACTACTCATGTGTTGAACAAAGCCAAGAGCGTATAAAATTGGATTAAAAGACTGCATTTAAGCTATCATCTTCAGTGTCAGCATGGGTGTTAAAATCACCCACAATGATGACCTTTTCAGTAATTAACTGTCAGAAGGCTCAGAATGTACGACCCAGAATACAAGCAGACGGATCTGTGTTTTTTAACAACCAAGCATTTATGAACTGCTCCGGTTACAGTGGTTTAACAGCTGGGGCAGGAACTCTGAAAACTCTTAAGAGGTGGGAACTCAGTTTAGTGACTACGAAACTCAGATGGGCAACGATAACCAGCATGTAAGTCACTAACCTGGCTAAGAGTTCAGTCTGAGCCCAGAGGAAGGAGTGGAATTCTGAAGGATTGTCTCTCCACAGCATGCGGCGGGAGCCGCCCCCAGAGTTCCAGGAGAGAAGCAGAGCAGACTAATGAGCAGAAGCCAGCAGATGAGAAAAGGCAGAAGTATCCATAGGGAGAATCTAAAGCCAGAGTCGTAGCAGGAGCAGGTCTCCCGGCAAGAATATCATAGAGCTGAAGAGGTACTGAAGGAGAATCCACGGCGGGGTCAGAAGACAGAGCCAAGGTTGTAAGCAGGCAGAATCCAGGAAACAGTCCCAAAACAAATCAGGCAAACAGAGCAGAAAAGTGGCAAACAAAACTCGGAAGTCCAGAGGCACTAACTTCATAGAATCGGGTAATAAGAAACACCCAGGAATGCTAGAGTTAGTCTCACACACATCTCGAATATTCTGGGACTGACAGGTTGATACAGGCAGCATAAATAGGAGTTGGAACAGGTGGCTCATGAGGGCAGATGAAACTGGATAGAGCTAAGCAGGTGGAAGGAATTAACTAATAATCCAGTCACCTGTGGATCATTTCTTTAACGTCAGATAGGATTTCTCAAAAAACTGATCTAAAAATTCAGAATAAGGACCTGGTGGACGCTGCAAAGTTACAAACAAAAGAGGTTTTGTTGCTTTGCAATTTGGATGAGGAAAACTAAGTGTTAAATGTTCGAAACAGTTGTAATCATTAATTGGCTTTGGAGTAATCAGTAGCTCACACTGAGAGTTTGTTGCTGCTCCAGGAAACGTAAATAAATTTAGGGATTTGGCTCATTTAACTACAAATATATTTGATTATCAGAAATCAAATAATTAAATAAAAGACCTTTCGAAGAAAGAAATCTTATGATAAAGCAGATTTAATAGGTATCACTTTTCCCCCCGATTGGAGTCATTTTAACTTTAACTAGGTTATCATGACTTACTCATTTGGGATTCTTTTCTAATTCATTTGATTTTAGTTGTGAACATGACACTGTCTGCTTGGAGTAACGAGTTGGTAACAGTAGAGAAGTTGCAGGGAGGGACTATGACTCTTCTTACTGGTGTGCACCCTGGACTGTCAGGGTTTTGGAAGACTAATAGATTTGACTAGATTCCTAGAAAGATGAGCTACACCATCCAAAGTGGGATTGTTGTCATCTTTCCAAATCAGACCAGGTTTTCCCCAAAAAGATAACCAATCATCAGCGTAGCCCAAATCATTTTCAGGACCCCACCTGACAACCAGTAGCTGAATAATGACATGCGGCTAAACGTATCATCACTGGTCAGATCGGGGAGGGTGCCAGAGAAAATGAAGGAGTCTGACAGGCCACCACCTAAGTTAAACTGTGTTTTTTCCACACCCTCTTTGCTTACCATTGGTAATATTGGAGCTTGATTTCTTTTAAATGTTTCATTCTAGTTATAAGTTACTGCTCATTGCTTATCTGTGACATCCTGCAGCCAGCTTTAAGCTGGGCTTCCAAGTTCATGTTGTGCTTCTCTTTGGACATTCTGTGTTTACAGAGATGTGGCAACTTGCAAATCAGCTAGATAGGAAATTCACACTTAAAGCTGCTGCTCTATCATGAGAATTATTTGTGTAGGGTCACTTCTGAAATTTGTCATTACCTTATTTGGAAACTTAATGGTTGGGGTTTGCACTTACTTCTGCAGACAGATTGTGCACGCAGCATCAGCCTTAGCACTCTTCTTCACGAAAAAAGGAACTGGGTTAAAAAAGTAAACATTAAATAAGATTTAACTGCTGGCTCATTTAAATACACAATGATATCATGTTTGCTTTGCATGTATCTTTTATGATTGAATGTGAACATGAAGTGGACGTTGGAAGCAAACTTAGAAACACAGCTTTTATCTATAAAGTAAAATTGCTCGATTGTATGTGTGCACATGGTTTTATAAATCAGGATTCATTTCTGAAACAGGTAAAAGGTGGAAAGAAGATCGTCAAGACTATCCTACATAAAATTGTCTTTATACTCTAGGAAATGTAGTAAGGACACACATTCCTGCTGTTACACTTGAATTCTTCTGTTTATATTGTGCAATTTTACCGGCAGATCATGGATATATTATTAACTAGAACTGGGGGTTATAATTAAGTAAAATGTAATTCAAATCAATGGTAAACCCTAGTTATTATCTTTAGTTAAATGATTATAACTGACAATTTGTTCAATTATCAGGTGTTTTTAAACTGCTTACCTTTGTGGCTGGATGTTTTGAACCAGCAATTAAAAGCCTAGATGTCTTCACCATCAGTAAATATAATAACTTGTTTAATAAATTAAGCAGTTGATTTGCACTGTTAGGCGTATATCTGTGTTGGGTTATAGTTTCAGACAGTCATTGAAGCTCACCTTTCTCACCACAGTTCTTTGAAAAAAGTGCAGAGGGTCGTAAAAGGATCTATGAAGTGTATGTTTCTTGTAACAGGACAGATGGACCCAGTATTCAAGGTGAGACAGTCATTAGGAAAGTTCAAAACGAGACCACGAGAGCAGCAACTTTTAAACATAGCGTGCATGAGGAGAAAAGGGCTCGTGCATGCTCTCGCACGCACAGTTTTTTTAAAAGTAAATCGCAAAAATCCTCCACAATACCAGAAAAAAATTAACTACGGTTCCAGAGATAACACCACATGTAACATGATGTCCAGCTGGATTGTTGGGTCTCTCCGTGGTTTTCAGATGTGATATCAGAGGAAGAGTCTCAAATCACATCCGAAATGTGATGTGAAATCTGATATCAGAGTTGCAGTTCTGATCTTTAACATATCCGTAACGATTAAATGAGTGAATATCTAAAAATAAAAATAACCGTTGCTGTATTATTAGTTTTTCTTGATAACATTTTACTATTTTGTCCAAGCTGTACATGTCCCTGAACGCAACTTTATAAATTTATAGTCTAAATATATAGTTGCAATACGTCATAAACTTAAAACCATGGACCCAATATTCAAAGCAGACAGATCTGGATTAATTCAGAACAAGTCTTTATTGAACACTCAGCTTGTGGCTGCTCATCAGCTGGAGCAGATAAACTGGATCCGCTGTTTCAGAGTGGAGCTGATGCCAGCCGATGCTGAGGGGCAACAGAGTCCTGAATGGAATGTCCAAAAGCTGAAGTCATAGCAGAACCAAGTTCACAGACCAGATGATCAGAGAGCCGATGAGGTACAGAGGGGGAATCCAAGCCGAGGTCAGAAGAACAGTCCAAGTTTGGTGAGCCAGTTGAATCCAGGAATCAGTCCAGAACAGAGCAGATTAACAGAGCAGACAGGGGCAAAGCCAAACTTGGGATCCACAGGGCAGAAAAAGGTCAGAATCAGAAAATCAGATTTCTAAATGGCCCTTTCTGTTTGTAACAGCTCAATTGGTAAGTGAAATGATCAACAACTAAGCCAGCACTGAAAGTAGTTAGTCCTTATCGGTGTGGTAAGATAACTGTCATTGAAAATGCATACGTGGTTGTTTGCAATTGTAAATGTCAATAAAAAAGAATCAAATATAGATTTGGATTTGTTCTTTGTTTTCAACTCATACATATGTAAGATTGCAAAACAACAAGTAGAAAGCACAATATTGAAAACACACAGTTCAATTTTAGATACAAATACAGTACAATATAATAAACAATATGAGGAAAGCAAAACACACAATTAGTAAATGAATTGCTAAACCTATCTATTTTTCTTGAGCCGGTAAATATTGCTATATACTATTGTAGAAACAGACTAAGAAAGAGAGTTGTATATTTATCAAAATATATTTAAACTATATTGTATTTAGCAGAAACATTCACATAGTCATTTTCCTCATCATCAGTGCTGTCAACTTCCTCATAATCACGATCATCACTGGTTGAATTTCTGTCCATCTTTTGTTTGTTTGTTGAGAGTATCATTTCAATGTTCTCATAGTCGTAGGAATCATTCTCATGGTCTTCTATGCTGATCTGCTGGACAGGCACTAAAGTAAAATGTAATAATGTTTGAATTAAAAAAAACAGGACAGCAATGGGTTTAGCAAATATGCGATAACCTGTATCACTTGCTGAATACAGACCTTGATTTTGGTCAGCTGCTATTGGTTGTTTAGTGCAAACTTTCCTTCTACAGGCCTGGCAGACTGTTATAAAGACCAGCAGAATCAGCAGCAGGATTCCACTGACTATGGAGGACACCACCAGCAGCAGAGATGATGCTAGAAAAGACAATAATGAAGCAATTTATTGCTCACAACCTGTAACATTTGTTCCAACTCCTAAAAGCTAGAATTCTGTTACAGTTTGTCCCACTGAAATACATTGATAATCATATCCTACACAGCAGTGAAATTTCTATACAAAATTTAACAGGATGGGCAGGATGAGGGCACTGGATTTTCATGGGGCCACCGAACAAAACAGGTCAATAGGTTATCATTTAAAATATTAAGTATCCAGTAAATCAGGCTGTGATAACCTGAGTAAACAAAACATATCATTTTCAAAAGATGATCTGATTCATTCAAATTCGAAAGATGAGCTTGGAATTAATGCCACCTTATTCCTGGCTCATAGAATCAAGAAAAGAATATCTTCAATAGAACCATTTAATTAACATGTAGACTGAAAGTTTAATAGATTTAACAGGCTCTGGGACTACTGTCAAACAAAATGACAGCCATTGTCTACAAACAATAGGGAAGGCTCCATGAAGGATATGGCCTTTCCATATGCCCAAGTTGGTTTCGATTTTTTATTTATTTATCTACTCAAAATTGGTGTCAGTCTCTCAAAAAAGTCCAGTAATGGACACCTTCAAGAAATTATGTTCAATACCTTGGATTAGGTCAAGAAATAAGGGTTATAACCAAACCTTTACAAAATAATAAACAAATATTCCCATTCACCCCTGTTGAATGACTTTGACATCATTCACTCCATCTTTTACACTGCTGTACTTTGTGTTCTTTTTATATCTGTTTTTGTTTTGCTTTCTTCCATGTATTTGTATTATATTCTGACTATTTGCCTAGTTCTCCCTTTTCCTACTTTATATGTATAGTTCCCTTGGGTGTCTTGACAGGTTCTTTAAATCAAATATATTATTACCATTATTATCATCATATACCAGGGGTTACTGGTTTTCCTTTACTTGTTCTGCTACCTCAGAATATCATCAGGGGAGTTTCTCTCTCATCTTCTCTGGCTCCAACATCAAAGACACCAGGCCAGCAGTGAACGGCTCAGCGTACTTTTACTTCCAAGTGGCTGAATTGGAGCACCAAGGCAACTACAGCTGTGTGCATGAGGTTGCATTCTCTGAAAGGAGATTCAGTTCTGCTGAGGCAGAACACATTAGTCTTGTCATCAAATGTAAGTCACTTTGTATTACCTAAGAGAACTATTTAATTTTCTACAATGTTTCAAAGGCAAAATTATTATTTCAACATGATGATAATAATAGTAATAATATATTTGATTTAAAGAGCCTGTCAAGACACCCAAGGGAACTATACAGTATTTAATCTATGGGCAAAGGAGGGAGATTCGGCAGAAACTTCTGAGCTAATTTGGTGAAGCAACAAATTAGATAGCAGCAGATGGTATGAGAAACCACAGCAACTTATGTTTAGGGAAATTCAAAGAGGAAATACAAAGTTAGAGCAGAAATACATCTATGTATGTTTTTTTCTAATTCAGAATAAAATTTGAAAAAGTGAATAATTGGTTTTTAGTTTTTTTGTTTTAAGAAGAAATTCCCAACTTAAATATACAGTCTTTTCCTCATTATAATGGTTAAAAAGAAAACATGCTGTTTATCTTTTTGTTGCACCATTTCAGACCTTCTTGGGATACTGTTAGTCATAGTTTGAATTTATAGTGCTTTTAATTGTTACTTACCTCTAGGATGGCAAACATCTAATTCAGACATGTTTATTTTAGAGATCGTTGTGATGAACTGTTTACAATCTGTAGCTAGTATTATATAAATATATAACTGGACAAATTCACTGTTATAAGACCAGCAGGCTTTCCAATCCTTTATATTCCATCATGGGTTTTATCCCAGGAACGTTGGAGCTTTCCGTTCTTTTTGGTAAATACATCCATGGAATATTCTATTTAGTCAAATACATAATTTTCTGATCAATGAACTCACCATACATACAAGTGAATACACCGTAGATATACCCATGCTGAGTTTAATTTTGTGTTTACATGGTGAATAATATGTTTGAACATTTTAGCATTTTAAAGGATTTTATAAAGCATCTTCCTTTACCTGAACAGACGACACCAGCGTCCTCATGGTGGCCACAGTTATGCTGCCCAAAGCCTCTGTGTTTACAGTCTGTTAGAGAACTTTCAGTTCCTGCGCAATCAACATCATCAAGCCAGATTGGTCCATGCCCTTGACCAAAATTAGCTTCATGGGTTGCACTGAGTGCTCTACCACAGCTGAGCTGTCGACAAGCCACATCAGCATCATTGTTGTCCCAGTCGTCACCACACACCGTACCCCAGGTATTGTTATGGTAGACTTCAACCCTTCCAGAGCACTTAGTTGATCCAGGACCTGTCAACCTGATCTGACCTTCAAAAACATGATTTGACATATTTATGTTAATGCTCTTGAACACTTTGAAGTTCTATTGGAATAGTAGAGTAAAAATAAACGGACATTCACATGAAGATGAGATCAAGACTGACAAAAGTGTAAAAGAAAATTTTTTGTATTTTACTAAATTTTTGTAAAATATAAAATTTTGTTTTTACATGGTGAATAAAATGTTTGAAATTTTTAGCATTTTAAAGGCTTTTTATAAAACATCTTCCTTTACCTGAACAGACGACACCAGCGTCCTCATGGTGGCCACAGTTATGCTGCCCAAAGCCTTCGTGTTTACAGTCTGTTAGAGAACTTTCAGTTCCTGCGCAATCAACATCATCAAGCCAGATTGGTCCATGCCCTTGACCAAAATTAGCTTCATGGGTTGCACTGAGTGCTCTACCACAGCCGAGCTGTCGACAAGCCACATCAGCATCATTGTTGTCCCAGTCGTCACCACACACCGTACCCCAAGTATTGTTATGGTAGACTTCAACCCTTCCAGAGCACTTAGTTGATTCAGGACCTGTCAACCTGATCTGACCTTCAAAAACATGATTTGACATATTTAAGTTAATGCTCTTGTACACTTTGAGGTTCTATTGGACTGGTAGAGTAATAATAAACTGACCTTCATATGAAGATGAGATCAAGACTAACAAAACTGTAAGAGAAAAACTTTTATATTTTACAAAATGTGTTGTAAAATATGATAAATTTGAAATTCAAGAAAAGAATATAGAGAATACAAAAAACATGATCTTACAGAGAAAACCAGTGAAAAGCTTAAGGTCCCCCTCCTGTCTGTTCCACATAGCTGTATATTGCTTCACAGTGCAGTCCTCTTCATCAGAGCAATCAACTAACTGGACTTAAACTGGTGTACAGAAACTCTTTCTACCTCTCATGACTGAGACACTTCCTCTATTAATTTCCGTTTTTTTTTTTTTTATTTTTTATTGCCAAGGTCAAAAAAACAATTTTATACAAATCCAGCTTAACTTTTTTGGTGAAATAAATGAAAAAAGCTTAATCCAATCTTTAAATGTGTTACCTCTAAGCAGACTTTAAAAGGGAACACCGTTTTTTTTTTTTTTACATTAGGCCCTTGATTTTACGTTATTACATCATGTTCTACTCACCCATATGAGTTTTGTGTCATTTGGAGCTGTTCTGAAGATATTCTGTTAGGTTATATCCAAGTGACGTCTTCCTATGGGCAAAGACTTGAAGGCACAAGCTAAACTGTTCATGCTATATTCTTTATAGTACGCCAGCATTCATAACATGTAGGCGAATCACTGTCCCCCAGACATCCGCGGTTATATTTTTTATATTTATATCCTTTAAAAACAAAGCGGAATGTGTATGACGTCATCCGCGCCCGCTGGCTACCGTTCATTCATCCTTTCCGCTGAACTTCTGCTAGTTTTACTCACATGCCTGGAAGATGTCTAGTGCTGCTACCACAGATGATCTCACTCTTGAAATGGAATTGAACAATTCAGATTAGCTAGCTGAATGAATAGAAGGGGTAGAGCGTAGCCGCCTGTGGCCCGGGCTTCCTGTCACAACTCCAGTACGGCGCGCAGATGACGTCATACATTCGCATTGTTTTAAAAAGATATAAATATAAAAAATATAACCGCGGATGTCTGGGGGTCTGTGATTCGCCTACATGTTATTAATGCTGGCGTACCATAAATGATCAATTATGAACAGTTTAGTTTGTGCCTTCAAGTCTTTGCCCATAGGAAGACGTTACTTGGATATAACCTAACAGAATATCTTCAGAACAGCTCCAAATAACACAAAACTCATATGGGTGAGTAGAACATGATGTAATAACGTAAAATCAAGGGGCCAATGTAAAAAAAAAAAAAAAGTTCCCCTTTGAGCTTTCATTAAAAGTTATAATTTTAATATTTTCTTTAGATCCCTTCCTCAGCAGATCTGATACAAGTAAAGTTGTGTTAAAGCTGAGCCAGGAGTTTGGACATCCCTGGGGTTTGGGGGACTTCTGAAACAGGTGTACGTCATCTCAGCTGACTCCCCACTATGTTCAGGATAAGTAGATAAACTCCAACATCCTCCCAGATAACCAACTCCTCACCCTAGCCCTAAGGAATTACCTGGCCACTCTGTGGAGGAGGCTAATTGACTTTTTTTTGCATCTCGTTCTTGATCCAGATTTCATGACCATAGATGAGGGTAGGAACATAGACTAATAGGTAGGCTAAACTGAGAGCTCAAAACAAAGATTTTGATCGAAGAAGACCATTTCAACATAACTAACTCAATTGTTATCTACCAAGAGGGTATTAAAAGATTATCTTTGAATAAAATAACAATTAAAGCAAATAAATGCCTTTTGATATTGTGCACAATTCATTTTCATCTCAGTTGTAAACTATTAAAAACATCAAATATCTGGCTCTGAGAAATAAAAACATAGCTAAATCTAAAGACAGGCAACTAATTTTCTATAGTTTGATACTGTGACTATAGGAGGCACTGTTTCTTCTTCATATCTTGACAGAAAAGTACCATTCAAATAGAGCTATTTGTTGAAATGAGGTAATTACAGTGAAATGTTTGCCAGTTTGCTGTGTCCAGAAAAACTAAATAGTGCGCTGCTTATTCTCAATAAATAAAACCTAAATGGTGTAAATTTTTCATTGAGAGAGATATGTTCTGTATTTTATCTTGATATTGCTTATATGCTTACATCTTTTCATCACATGTGATACTGGCCACATTTTGGGCCATGTATGCAGGTTTGTTTCTCATATGTTGTAAAAAGTAAAACTAACATCAATTACTAACAAACCGGTTTGTTTTTATTTCAAGTGAATAAATCTAAAAGGCTTTAATGACAAAGAAACTCTCTGTAAAAAATTTAATAAAATCACACAGTCATGCTCTGATTTGTGAGATACAAAACAACAAGAAATTAATGAGCAATTAAGGCCTTGTAATCTCAGTTTTAATATTTTTATTTAAATGTACAAGGATAGATAGACAATCATCTCTCAATACAGTTCATAAACAAAAAACATGTAATTCATAAATGATTTCTGTAGATATTTTATCCACACATTGAACATTATCACTGATGAAGTAATATACTGATTAAAATGAAAATGAGCAGTGTTAAAATATACAAAGAAATATATATAGAGATGCAGTGACAAAGCATTTTACTGGGATCATATGACTAAATAGATTTTAACCTTGAACCCATTTTGAATGTAAAAGGTTAGGAACTGAATCCATTTTATTTATTAAGATAATTCTCCTTTATTTTGTTGTTGCATTTCTAGCCACATCAAACAACTACAAATAAAAATTACATTCATTTACACTGTACAGCATTTCTTCTATAATAAACAGCAGGTAAAATAAGTTGATTCTTGTTTCATTTAGGGTTTAAAAGAGTATACTTTACTTACTACTTACATTTGGCAGGTAGCAAAATTATTCTACTGTTTAAATAAAAAGTTAATATATATTGAATAGATTACTGACTTTGGTTAAAAGGTTTAAGTGTCTATTAAGGTTGATAAAATTGTTTATATTCTAAATCTCTTAATCTGATAGATAATATTTTACATATCATGAATTTTTGGAGCAGTATTGAATATCATTAGATTAAGATTAGTACAGGAAAATTAAAAATTGATTTTTGTTTAAGTATAAGGCATAGAGTTCTGCTTCAACTGGCAAAGTGTAACAGAGGAGCCAACCCCAAACCCAGCATACAGAGGCTCACTGAACTGAGCTCTGAATCTGTGGATGAGCTCCATTGAATTTGATATTGAATAGAAGGCCAAAGTGTTGCCTGCATAGTCCAGGTACACACCTATTCTTGTGGCCCTTGGAGCACTGGGGAGATCTTTGTCTGCTTTGTTGTGCCATGCTGAGTACCCTGAATCAGAGCACAGAAGACTCCATGACTTGTCATTATAGCCCAGAAGGCTGTGTGAATTCTTGCCCTTCCGACTGATGCTCTTGTAGGCCACACCTATGGAGAACTCCCCATTCCACTCTGCCTCCCAGTAGAACCTGAAACCAGAAAGAGCCTCCTTGCACAGCACCTGGGAAAAGCCATCAAATCGTTCTGGGTGGTCTGGATAAAACTGGGTTGTTTTCTTTCGAGTGACTCTCTGATTCCCATCTGACAACACAAGTTCCTTGTAGACGGTGTTTGGATCCAAGGAAAGCTTGCAGGCATCTAAAAAAGAAATCAACAGCACATTTCTTCATGCTCATCTGCAATAACATCTTCAACTGACATTACATAATTGCATTGTTTTAAATGGATGTTCTTTTCATTGACACTAAAATATTTTGTATCAGAGATGTTCACGAGTCTTATTTTATAAGTTGAATTCAAACCTCATGTCTTTTGCCCCAAAGCTCGAGCCAAACCCTTGGTCTTTAAAGAGCAGGTCAAAGTAAAAACCCAAGTTTTTTGGTCTAAGTGCAGCTAATTTCTAATAAATGTAAAGTCTCATATCAGATTTTTTATATCTTCTTAGCCTAAAACACAGATTTTCTTAAACAGAAGTTATCAACTAAAGACAAAGGATGAATATACTTATATATATATATAAATATATACTTTATGCTTTATCTTTAATCATTACACATTTATTTTGATATGTAGAATGTTTAGTCCTAACCTTTTTAAAGGTCAAGAAGCACTGTTTCTACAGCAGTGAAAATAAAATAATGTTTTCCTGTTTAAAGAACTTATAGAATTAAATAAGAATTACCTAATCACCGTGGTCAAGTTTCTTTATAGATCAAACAGGAAGTGCTTTTTCAAGAACAAATAGACACGAGAGAGTTTGTGTATTGATTCTTGCTTAACAGAGAGAACATAAAATGTCCTAAATGTATTTTGCTCATCGTTCATTTAAAGCAGCTTTTCTTTGCTTATCATTAGGAAGTCTTTAACAAACATTAACAAGATGTTCTAAACCACTAGCCCTGTTTCCATCCAACTAAAATTTCAATTTTAAGCTAACTTTTAAAATAAAAAAAATGTGAATGTGAGAGATGAACGTGAGATGTTTCCATTTGGTTTGATGTGAATCAACCAAGCACCACAACGTTGATGTCGTGATGCATCGTCGTCATGTGCGGCTGTATAAAACAGGAAGTAGAGGGTGCAATCAAGCACCGATCAAGGATCAGCAACAGGAGCAAGTTTTAACCAATGTATTGCTATCAAGCAAGATGTTCTTCTGTTAAAATCTCACCCAGAAATTGTTATTTTGCTTCCAACCATGTTTTCACGTATAATAGGACTTTTGCCGAAGAGAACAGCAGAAACAGCTGATCAGTGATGTGGTATAAAAGTTTGTCACTGATCCAAAAAAAGTGTTTCCATTTCCCGTTTTGCACATCAATCATTTTTCACAAAAGCCAAAATGCATCTCAAATGAGCATAAAACTTGTAATGTCTTGCAAATTTTAGGGAACAAATTTTATTGCTTGCAACAATTTTTACTAATATGATACTTCAAAATGTGCATTAGAAAAAGCTGATCAAAATGAATTCACTAACAGCGTTTTTTTGACTGGTATAAAATATTATAGAGAACCCTTAAGTACTGTAATCGATACTACCTTAACAATCAGGCATTTGTAAACTCCAAAGTAACTTAGAACATACAATAATCATTTAGTAAAATGATCTTAGTGTAATAATTGACAATCACGAGTCAAATCTGAAGTGTTTATTTTTGTAATTGAGGTTTGTCTTAGCTTTGCATTGTCATCTCAGTTGTTCGGACCGAATCATGAAGACCCCCTACTTACATCTCAAGAAGTGTGATCTGGATTTTGGCTCCTGAAAATCAACCTTGGAAGGAACTGTTTGTAAAAAAAATAAATAAAAAAACTTTTATTTGACCAGTAACGTTTTTGTTCATAAATTGGCAAATATTGCTGAGTTTCTTAAGCCTTACCTTTCAAACGCTTTTCCCCATTTCTTGGCAAAAGTATGTACACAGGTGTTTCACTGACTGTGAAGAATGTTTACATTAGTTTGACCTGTCACATGAGTTTATGTACTGTAAGTTATCTGATTTTTCAGCCATATTCTTTGTAGAATCGTACCTGTCTTGGAGATCTTGCTCAGTTCCTTTTTACAGATGTCATCCAGATTTTCTTTCATCTCTATTGCTGTTCTGCTTATTTCTCCAAAGGAGAACTGAGGATTGATCAGGACCTTAGGTACCATGGCCTCGGGAGGGACGCATAGGGTTGGAAAATTCTGTACATCGAGAAAGAATTCCATCAAGACCTCTGAAATAAAACTCAAATGCAGTTAATGGTAACCTCGTTCTTCAAGACCCAGTTTTAACCCCTAAATAACTTTGTACACTGAAATGTAGCCAATATGAAAATGGAAAGTAAACTTTGGACTGTTTAGCATCAGTATTTTAATTTTTTAAATCCTAAAGACTAAATACAGTATTTTCTTACAGTGGCCTAGTGCTACATTACATTTCTATTTGGAAGTAGGCATTTCTGTCCTAGGAGTAGAAAATTTAGACCTAAACATCCACAGATATTGAAATTACAAGTTGCAAAATCCGGGCAACAGGACCATAATTAACTTCCACATTCACAATATTTGCTACTCTGTGTTACATTTAAATGTTGTAACAGTGACATCAGTGGTTATGTACAAATAATAACAAAAGGTGAAGCATAGAACTGATATAAAAAAAACTTTCAGCGGTTTCTTCATTCCAACTTTCCAGTTACAGTACAAGTGTAATGGAACTCAGCATAAAAGAAGACTTGATTTGATTATATAGTTTTTAGGAGTATTCTATGAGAGTGCTTCCCAACCCTGTTCCTAGGACCGCTGTCCAGCATGTTTTAGGTGTTTCCTAGTTGCATCACTCCAGAAAAGATTAGATTATGAGAAGAAGAGTCCTTGACACAGAGAGATATCAGAGACATATCTAAAACATGCAGGGCAGGGGTCCCTGAGGAGGACAAGGGTGTGGAACCAAAGCTCTATGAGATACACCATCAAACAGATATGAATGATCAACTGAAACCTGCAAAAAATGAATGTTGTCTTCTGTTTCCAGGATCTGTCGTAGCTCAGCATCTCGGCGCTGCAGCTCCATAATCTCCTGTTCAAGACGCTCAACATAGCCTTCAGCCTGATTCATGGCTGACTGCATGTTGGCCATTATCATCTGATTGATTTCAGATTTCCAACGCTCGACTGCCTGCAGCATTTCATGGAAGGTTTTATCACTTTCCGTCTGTGCACGCTGAGCAGAATTCTGAAAAGAAAATCACAAATTTTATTTCCTGCAAGGTACTGTAAAGACATTCCGTAATCCCGTGTAAAGTGGTGAAAAGAAAAGTATGCTTGGTGTATTATTATCAAAAATATTATAATGTCTCATTACTTTTAGAACATCCACATTGTGCTTGAGGTCCTGTAGTTCTTTCATCCGCTCGGAAATGATGCGCTGCACTTCGGACTGGGTGACCACCAGAACTTTCTGAAACAAAATAATCACATCAGCAAGTTGTTTTACATCACTCCAAAAACTTTTACAAACTTTTAAAGTTTTTATATTTAAAAAGTTCAATTTTAATTTTAATTTTGGGCAGCAAAAAAAAAATTATATATATATATATATACAATTATTTAAGTTAAATTTAAGTCGTTTTTACTTAAAAGCTTTTTTATTCCTTGCCCTCTGCGTAATTCTAATGCAGGGAACCAACAACGGCACAACAGTGACAAAACCCAAACATTTTCATCTTAAGCCAACTTTTTCAATAATCTAACTGCTGAAAGAGTAAGAGCTTTACTTTGTTTAAACATATGGACTAAAACCGCATCGCAATTTATTTCCGGTATGGTGCAGGCCCATTAATCCCTCATTTTCAACAGCACAACCTTTGCAAACCTTTTACTTTTAAGAGTTTTTAGCAGCTTTATAAGTAGCATCAAACCCACCTCTGTACTGATCTAACCAATAACATATTAATAGCTTTATCTTTACAGTTACAAAACTTAACAAACAAACATATTTTATTGAGGCCTTAAAGCAATCCTAAACCTATTTGGATCCATATTCCTCACCTCTTAGACAGAAAACTTCTTAGAGAGATTTATATGTCATTTTCTTTACACAAGTGTAAAACAAAAAGTAATTTAGTTTAGAACAGCTCTCTGGACAATTTCTTTTTTTTTCTTTAAGTACAGCCTTGAAAAATAGTAATATATATATATATATATATATATATATATATATATATATATATATATATATATATATATATATATATATATATATATATATATATATATATATATATATATATATATATAAACAGTAATATAAACATATGACTGTATATTTACAGTTCTAACATTTTTTGTTTAAAAAAAATATACATATAATGATAAAATATAAGAAATTATCTTCTAAATTATTTAATTATTAATTATTTATTCATAATTAAATTATCTAAATCAATCCTAACCAATCTATCTATAAAAGTTGATTTAATTTACTCTTTAAAGTGCCTTGAGATATAAGGTGTTGTGAATAAGCCCTATATAAATTAAAGGATTGGATTAGATTTTGATTTGTCCGAGTTTAGACCTAGTTAAATTGTATGGTCTAAAAGTCATCCGAGCTAAGCTTACATCTAAATCTAAAATAAAACAGAAAACGTAAGAATGTTAAAGTAAATTCTGTATACAATGCAAATATGCCAAAAGCAAAAACCAAAGTTAATAACAACTTGATTTGATTCTGTAGAGGGACAATAGACAAGAGTCTGTGTTTGACTCAGCTTTGAGGCTTTTCTGTTGTTCAAATCAAAATTGCCTAAAGGAGAGTATATTCAGTTGTCTACAAAAATTCTCAAATTCAATTTAAGACATAAAAAACGGGTACATTTTCAACAAATCTATAAAATCAAGTCTGAACATCAATAAATTATTTGCAAATTGTTTAGACGCTTTTTCTAACAAGGAGCCATATGTCTAGTTATGACGTAAAAATACAATAAGATGAAAAACAGAGTGTAATACTAGATGAAGAATAGTCTTAACTTCTGTATCCCTTTGTCATTATTCTCCGTTACCATCTTTAGTAGAAAGCATTTAAAAAAAAAGAACCATTCTCTAGATGTTATCACATTTTTATAACTGTTAATAACAGTTAGGCTGGGCATAGACTACACAATATTTTCAAACTTTGTACTTAGTCACAGCTCAAACTATACGATGAAATCGCAGGGTTTAAAAGTTCAGAACTCATGATGTATGATCTTACACTGTACGGCCCGATGCTCTGATGGGATCTAACTGCTCACACTGTACATCCAAAAACCACAAATCAGACCTGTTGAAGAAGAATGCCCTTGTTTGCACATGTGCAGTCTGCGCAAGTTTGTGCAAGTTTGTTAAATCGTTTGTTAAATCGTTTGCTAAATCATATTGTAGTCACTAATAGCTCTGCATTAACAGCAGGATTAGCTCATGAACACCTCACGAGGGCTGACTGAATCTCAGAGGTGTTTGATTTTTGTCCCAACCTTACAATTCCTGATCGGGAGGTGGTTTTGAGAGGCTAATGTGCCCTCGTTACCACGTAAAATATACAACGCAGGATGTATGATGAGGCAGATACTTGGCCCGATCGAAAACATTTTTGAATGACTGGCGAAATGGCCTGAAAAGGGCAAACAACAGTGTATGTCATCCTTTATTTTAAATGGTAAATACAGTTTTTTTCATTGCTTCACCATAGATTGATCTCCTCTACAGATGCATCCTCATAACAGGCACCAAAAAGACTTCAATTGTTTGATCATGTTGGCTAAATCTAATTTAGAGATGCTAATGCATCACACTAAAAGGTACTAGTCAAACAACATTGCTAGAACTTACTTGTTTATCAATACGCTCTTCTTCTGCTGAGGCAATGTTGTGGCTGCGGTGCTCCCTGACAGTACACAGCACACAGATGCACATCTGGTCGGACCGACAGAACAGCTCCAGGCCTTTCTCATGCTGGGGGCAGATCTTCCTGTCAAGGTGACCCGTCTCATCCACCAGTTTGTGCCTCTTGAATGTAGAGGATTCATAATGAGGCTTGACATGAGTTTCGCAGTAGTAGGCCAGACACATGAGGCATGACTTGACGGCCCTGTTGCGGCGGCCAACGCAAAAGTCGCAGTAGGATTCACGGTGCATGTAAGGAAAGGGAGTCAGCTCTGGAAGCTGCTGGCGGGGCTCATGTTCGTGCTGAACGTCTGGCACATTGCGTCTCAGGACAGGTCGTGGCGTGAAAGTTGCACGGCATTGAGGACAGCTGTACACACCCATATGATCGAACTGATCCCAGTAGATCTTGATACACTCCAGGCAGTAAGTGTCACCACAAGGAATGGTGACTGGATCTCTTAGTCCATCAGCACATAGTGGACAAAAGGAGTCTGGTGGTAATGGAAAAGCAGAATCAGCCATGTTCTTCAACCAAAGTATCCTATCGAATAATTTGATTAGAATCCAAATAGGACCTTGTCAGTCTGTAAGGTAACAGTCCACTGCTCAAATTCCCCCAGTTGGAAAAAGGACATCAGTTACTTTGTAGGAACCTATTATACCACCATTCCTTCAGTAAGATCACTGGACTGTTTCTGCTGACATTTAAAGGTTAGGCTTTGTTTATACCACAAACAGAAAACTGATCCGTTCTCACAGAGCTTGTTTTTTATTTCCTGATTGAAAGTCCTGACGTCTGCATCCTTGGTGGAATTTGCTTTCAAACCTGAATATCATCTTATCTCACAAAGTAAGGTCAAATATTCAGCAAAGTAAAACCATCTTTTACCACATTTTTCATGTAGATATTAATGCTCAGACATAACAATGATATAGAATATTATGGCTAGAATTTAAAAAGGGCAAAAGATATTCATGAAATGGTTTTCAGAATTGTTTCTGTATTTGGATAGTCTCTCAATATAATTTTTTATAGACTGGACTTTTTTAATCAGTGCGAGACAGAGTAATTTGTTGGTAATAACAATACTCTGCAGTGCAGACCACAAATTTTTGTAAACTCAGTCATCTAAGAAGTTCACAATTCACTGCGTTTAGTCTGGCTTTTGGATAATAGGGCAGCAAAAAGTAGCAGTTATTGAACACTATAGGAAAATAATTTGTGTTTATGATTTATGCATTTTTTTCAAAGTACAAACAAAACACAACAGGCTAGAGAGTATTCCTGCAATTACGTTATCTTTTGTGCTATGTCTCGACAAGATCTGCAACTCTAGAGGTTTTAACTTTCATCAGTTGTTCTTTTCAAAGGTAAGACTGCATGAAGATGGGTTGTGAACATTTGGTTTCAGTTTGGTTTCAGTCCGAACATGTGAAATATGCCCTGAATTAACCATTGCAGACACCCCAATAAATCCTTTTTTAAAGTTCAACCTAGTATTGTGATCTTAAACAACCCTTCTTCTAGATGTTATATTTTCTATTTAGATTTTTCCACATCAATTTTAAGATAGACAAACTAATTTTTAGATGTTTTCATTGGCTTTAAAGTTTCCAGTAAACACATTTTCCTGCCTAGGCCTCAAAAGTAAACACATGGCTTTTGGCTTTTATTATCTGATTATGGATTGAACAATTGCATTTACAAAAAGAATACAGTACTCTTTGGTTGACTCTATCTGCTACTTTGATGTCTTTTGATAGTTGGCTGCACAGGCTTTTACCAGGTGCAAGAGATTAAGGGAACTAAGTACAAAACTATTCCACACTTTTCAGATTTTGGCTTTGAGTTTGAAAATCATCTTTTTTTTCTACCACTTAACAGTGATGTACCTTCCTATCAATTGGGAGTGTTAATAATTGTGTAAGGTGCTATGCAGAGAAGACCACCTGTGAGATAAAACCAATAATATTCATAGTAATGAAGTGACCTATTCACTGGGTGTAATAGTTAGAACCAAAAGCCCTTCACAACCTTGAGCTTTCCATGTGACTGATTCTCATGGTGGTTCCTGATTCCAAAACAATATATCGTGTTTGTCTTGTGGACAAAGCACACACAATGCGGGTCATCTTAGGTATCGGTGTGGATCCTAAGAAGGTGAAAATAATCTAGATTACATAAGCAACCAGGGATAAACAAACAAAAAAAGTTTTTCATTTGAGTCTCCTCAGAATGTCCTCTGAAATTAAGGAAATAAAAAAAGGAACATCCAAAGCCGCAATGCCACTTTTACACAGTTACCTACTGTATTGACTAATGTTGAAATAAAGATGGCTGCATGGATGTAAAAGCAGTTGTTAATACCCAAGCTATAATAGTATGCGTGACTATACCTTGCACATTCTCAAAGTACAGTTGTGCTTGAAAGTTTACATAACGTTCCATTAACGAAATAAAAAAACAGCTGCCGGTAAAACAAAGAGGAAATGTTAAGTCAGACTTCTGCACCTGATGACACGTATCTTGGTGCACTGTTCATAAGCTGGGCTTTTGAAATTATCTGGGACTGTTTTTTTTTAGAATATGTTTTCAAATTTAAATTCAAAGTAATTTTTTTTACTCAATTATTAATTAGTACATTTTTATTTGTCATTACTTTTAACAGTGTTATTTGAATTGCTAGTTTAAATGTATAATTGTCTTTAATGGGAAAGTATGTAAACCTTCAAGCAAACTGTATGTAGTATTAAACATATATTTACTTGCATAATCCGTCATTATGTTTCATAGCCTTCCATCGTCTTCTGCTACCTCCTTTTTTGCACTTAAGAAATAAGTGACATGCTCTGCACTATAATGTTTTTTTTCTTTAATGTTTTGCCGGTGAAATACATACATACAGCACATACATACTTCTGCATCTAAGAGATTAAGTTCAAGACTATGATGGTCAGTTTAAACATGCACAGGATGTTTAATATTCAGTGAATTTTTATTTTATAAGGTCAGATAAATTATGCTTGGGTTACCTTCAAAGAAAGGCTTTGTTCATTCTTGAGTTGTAAGCATAAACATTTCTGTTAGCTCTGTTACTTTAGGTCTGTGTGTGTAGGTTGGTTTGTGTAAAGTTCCTACCTGAACAGGTAATTGGCAACTCCTGGAGCTCATCTGGAAGAAAGTTTAATAGAGAGTCTTCCCTGAGGAAAGCACCAGTATATTATTGATCTGTGAGTGTTAAACAGGGTTAGAAACACCTCTGGAAAGCATCCCTAGTTTTTGTCTTGTAACTCACCATTTTCTCCTCTTCCTTGCAGAACTCCACCCTGGTTTTGGACTGCACTACTAGCTCTTCTTTCTTTCAGTAGAACTCCGGATCCAACAGTAATTTACCAAGTGTATCAGAACTGCCAAGCTCCTTGCCTGGAAATCCTGCCCCCCCTCCAATGCTCTGTCAGCACTGCCTCATCTGCCATTCCTAGTCAGCCCTGGTCCCACAATCTATTGGAGTTTATTTCAGGTCTTCCCATCTCTAATAATAAAATGGTTATCTTAAGCATCATTGATAGATTGTCCAAGACCTGTCATCTCATAGCTCTCTCTAAACTTCTGTCTTCCTCAGAAAGTGCTAAACTCCTATTTGCCCATGTCTTTCCACTCAGCAGCATTCCCACTGAGATTGTCTCAGACTGTGGCCCACAGTTCACCTCCTGAACCCCGACTCGGGGGTCTGACTTTCTGGCTGTGTGTTTGTGTTGTGTTCTGTGCTGCTCCTACCTGAATGCATAATTTGCTAAACCTGCTGCCACTAAGGCGGTAGGCTTAATAGAGAGCATGTTTTCTGTGGAAAGCAGCTGTATATTATTGCTCAGCTCTCTAGAAAGCATTCCTAGCTTTGGCTTTGTAACTCACACTCTTCTCCTATTCATTGCAGAATTCCTCCATGGTTTTGGACTGGACTCCTAGCTCTTCTTTTTTCCTATCGAAGTCTGGATGCAACATTTTTTTCATTTCATCCACAACTCCTCACCGTTATGTTTTCAAGCCACCAGAAGTACTCAGAGCTGCCAAGCTCCTTGCCAAGAAACCACCCTCCAATGCTCTGCCATCACTCCATCATCGGCCAGCAGCACGCCACTCAGTATGACCGCTGACCTGATGTCCTCCCTCGGGATCTTATAAAGTCTCCTCATTCTCAGTTTCCCTCTAAGAGCCTTTTGTTTTTTCCTCATTAAAAGGAATATTTTAAACATGTCTCCCAACTTGTTGGTGTTGTGATTTAACTTACGGTAGATTTCCTAGATCATGACAATTTCATGAATTTTTTCTTCACTCTGAAGCTGCTTGTTTGCATATATTTATTATTGATACATTTAGGCTGAAAGGTTGATTTTAAATTTCTCATTAAGTGCCAGCTTTCTGTTGTCTTCGCTCTTTGTTCTATGAAGGGCCCCTCTCATCTTATCCAGAACAAGGAACCTCTTGTTAATACACCAGCTGGGAGAGAAAGCAAGAGAGCAAGAGTTGTAGAGGACTGGAAAGTGACAGCTGTGTTGTAAACCTTCCAGTAAAATGGGCAACAAAGAGGGAAATCATTCTGCATAGACACAAATTAAATAAAGCAAATAATTACAAAGAATGATTGAAAGAAAAACAAAAATAAAATATATAACTTTGCGAGAAATTTTTGTTGAACATATTTCTAAACTATGGCTGAGTGGTTCAAAGGTGTCTGGACTAAATTTGAAAGGAATATGATTTATGGTGAAAATTAGCATGCCTTTGAAGTTATCAAGGCATATCAAAGGTTAATGGGGACCTATTTAATCAGGATGGAATAGCCTAAAAAAGAGCTACAGCAGCCTCGTTTAAAAGCAGGATCCCTAATATTAAGGCAATGCTTTACTAACTTGACTATTCATTAGTTGAGTGACTTTCTGTAAGGAATAGCTACATAACACAGACAATTACATGCTGTATTATATATTCATATTTATCTTTCTTTAATTAATTTCATTCAAAATCTTCACAAATGCATTAACAGCCAAACGGTTAAAATAGACTGAGGACAGTAAATGGTCATTTAGACAAATACAATGCTCAATGGGAGACAAAATGGGAAGTGATCGTGTATTTGGGCCAAAACGCCAACAAGTCAGATAACCTCAACCTCCATAAGTTAAGGCATGGAATGGTTTCTAAGCAGTGATGAAATGTCAGATCGATTGATAGAGTGATCCCTTAAAGATCACAGTATGTCAACGATTCACATCTGGAAGCAGGGAGCAGTTGGCAATTCCATTCTTTGAGAATACGCTTTTTGGCTGCAACCATTTCCACCTCCAGAGGTCGTATAGCAATTCAGGGAGATCTTTCATTGTCCATAACGTGCCAAAAATGGCTACTCCTGCATAGGGATGGAGAGGCCTTTTATAGGCCCTGGAGTTGCATTCAGATTTTGCATCAGAGATTTGTCAGTGAGGAACAGGACAAGTATGAGACAATGTGCCATCTGATGTTATACCTCAAAATAGGTAAGAAACAGGGCAGATTTTAGAATAATGTAAACTAAGTGCAATCCTTGGTATCTACTTTTAACAAAACAGGAATTTTCAACATACTTTTCCCTACATAGACCCTGTCAATTCTGCACCCATATCCTGGCTTCAGATGTCCCTGACCTTCACAATGA